CCCCCCCCCCCCCCCCCCCGGTGTTTGCCATCGGGGTTGGGTTTTCGTCGCTTGGCGACGACGTTGTAAAACAAGCCCCCCCCCCTCCCCGCTGTTTGCCATCGGGATTGGGTTTTCGTCGCTTGGCAACGACGTTGTAAAATAAGCCAATTCACTTGGTGAACTCGGCAACCAGGTTACCGTTTTTTTTTTTTTGCGGTGACCATAATGGTGGTCGAGTAGATCATGTTGTGCGGGGTCGAGAAACCTCACTCCGCGCAAGGGGGATGATCGCACCACGTTGTGTTAAAATGGTCAAGCATCCTCGAGGCAGTTACACAGCAGTGCTTATAACGGTCTCCGGAAGTGAAAGCACCAGAAAATAAATTAAGTCATACGCAGCTGTCATCCGTACGCAAGGAAGTAAGCACAAGATGCCGAACACCCTTAGCAGGATGAAGCTCACCCTTCATGCGACTCGCTGAATACCTCACGGCGCTTCGCGCTTGGTGATGTGAGAGCCTGGTCCGGTGAGAACCCGGCGTGCTCCGTCCCGGCTTTGTGGGGATGCGAGGTCAATGGTCAAACGACTACGGCATGCACGACTATGAGTACACCCCCCCCCCCCCCCCTCGGCGCGCGCGCGCGCTTACCGTGAATCACAACACCCGCCGTGACACCAACCTGGGAAGGTTGTTTCTCAAGCACAGCATTTCGATTTCAGCAGGCCTTCAACTCTGGCAACAGGAGGCATGTAGCATGCACGGGGGCTTCCTCCTCTAGTCCCCCCCAACCCATTCTAACCAAGCCGCCCCACCTACCTGGCAAGCTTCAAGATGCGGAGCACGCGGAACGATCTCAGTGCTGACAGCCCCCCGCCCCAGTCCTCTCCGTCCCCTCCCGTCAAGATGTCTGGCGGCCAGATGGCAAGCTCCACCAGACTGCTCAAGACGACCAGCCCGTCGAACAGGTTGAACTTGTCCTTGGCATATCCCCGCGGTCCCAGCGCCACCAGCTAGAAAAAGAGAGTCAGGCAGGCACGTCGTTGCCCCCCCCCCAAAAGTAAACGGCGGTGGGTCGATGGCAGAGCAGCGCGAAGAGCAGACTCAGCCGCGTGTACACAGGGAGAAACGGCATTGTGTGGTGCGCACGTGCGTGTTGAGAGAGGGGAAGCGAAACGCTGCTTGACAGCTTCTTTTGACGAGAAGACAACAGTGCAGGTTTCCACCGACGGGCGGTTGTAGACAACAACAAATTGGAAGAGACACGATGCTCCAGCCCCCACTACGGATACCCGGTGCAAGTTAATACTTAATGCAAGGCCTGGTGTGCCATCGAGGGCTGTTGGGGAATCCCTACAGATTTCTACCTGTAGCCTGGGATTTGCCATTCGTTATCCCAGCCCCCAATTCTTAGAAACCACCCGCCTGCACAGAGAAGGAAAACGCCTACCGACTCAGGCTGAAGACGGAACACCAGCTTGGCCGGGGGGGGGAGGGGGTGAGAGCGAAAACGCACACGGCAGCTGAGAATCGCATCGAACGATCTCCGAGAACGACAAACACACACACACACACATCCTTCCTACACTCCCCGCCACTACTGCAAGCTATGTTGTAAGCTGTCTTGGGGAAGAATTCATTTGTTCCAACAATTTGTGCTTCTTCTTGAGCATTTATTGCGGTCGGAGAAAACCCACAGGGAGCTGTTGGCAACAAACGGATTTCCAAAAACTGGTCGGGTGGATAGGAGAGGGGAACAGGGACCGGCCGACGGCAACAACAACAACAACCCGGAACGTTTCATAAACTATACCGGTCAGAAACGGCGGCATCTACTTACTATTATACGTATCTGGGTACTCTGCGACAGCACGAGCGAGAGCAGAAGTGAGTGCGCTGCTATAGTGCGATACCTTCAAAGCCATCTCCAACGCGAAGCACAGCGTGAAGACCAAGTTCAACAAGTCGAGCACCGTGGAGAATTCCTCGTCCATGGGGTGGTGATCCAAGGCCAACGTCAGCGTGTTGAGGATGATCAGGGTCGTTATCGAGCGCTGAAACGCGTCGCTAGCGGTCAGACGCCACAATGCCAGGCGCCAGTTACGATAGCCCTCAGCCTCGCTAGCACCGCTCCCGCTGCTACTGATGCCGTGACAACTGTCGGAGTGCAACTCCTCTCTTGTTCCTCCTTCCCCCCCCACCCCCCACGCCGCCCCCTCCCCGCCCCCGGTCCTCCTTCCTTCCTCCGTCGCTGCCAGGCCATCAGCAGCAGCAGCAGCAGCAACTGCAGCAACTGCAGCAGCTTTTACCCCAGCCTCTCCATCTTCAACCTCTCGTTCGGCAGCAATCGCCTTTTCCTCCACGGATGCGCCCAGCACATCGTCGATGCTGCTGTCCGCCTGTTGCTCCTGTTGCCGATGCTCCGCCGCCGCCGCCGCCGCCGCCGCCGCCGCCTGCCTCGCCTGCCGATCCATTTGGATTGGTGAAAAAGGAAAAAAAAAGAACGGTCTGCCAACTGGCTTCCTGAAAAACAGAAGCTGGTCGCTTCGGCAAATGTTGCTGCTTGCGTACTCGCCAACAAACAAGACGCATACATACCAAACCAACTCCGCGCGTTTGTGCGCATTCCGAACGGCGATGGATGGCGGGGAAAAACATGAGAGTTCCCTATATCAGTCCGAGGACGAGATGAGCCGCAAGCGCGGCCAGCGCCAACGACGAGAGCTCGCCTCGACCAATCAGGTGTTGCTGCCTCTCACGCCCGTCGCTTTACTCTTCCAGCCCACCCCCGCGGGGGAACGCCCACGGCACACAGGAGCACTAAACAGTACTTCTCGGGGAGGAAGGAGGAATCTCGTTCCGGCGCGAAGGCCGTGGTAACTCATTCCAGCCCCACGCACTCGTAAAAAAAGGCCAGGACGGAGATCACCGGGTTTCTTTCCCACCAGGCCCGTGGAGGAGGAGGAGGGGAGCATAATCATGATTTGCACGCCTCAGCGGTTAGACCGGTGACATTGGGGGGGGGGGGGAGGGGGCTAGAAGTCTGCCATGGAGCAAGATGGCACGCCTTGCAAATGATGTTGATCTTCTCACGAAAACGGGCCCGCTTGCTGCTTATCGTCTCTCACTCCTAGTCGTTCGATTTCCTATATTACACGCGCAGGACCGATCGCCGCCTACACGAGTTAGGTTAATCGCCTATAACTGCGGCGCTGCTCGATAGATATCGTTTCCACAGGCGCGGGGGTCCAGGAGCGCCATGTCACCCACGATTTTCAGTCCACACCTATAGGACAAGGGCATGCCAGGCTGCAGAGAAAAACGGGGCAAAAGCTGAGGTACCCGTCTGCCTCGACACCTCAGCTTGGTCTGTTGGCGAACGCGAAAAGAAACAGAAAACATGAACGGCACCAACCAACAACTGTAGAGTTGTAACTGCTGCTGCCGCTGCTGCTGCCTGTGGTTAAAAAGTCACACGGCAGTCACACGCAAAACCGCGGCGCCGTCTCTCCGCATCCCCGGAACCGTTGGTCGTTGCCTGATGGTGAAGAACCCGGTATACCGACAGCGTACCTCTTCTTCTTCCTTGCCCTGGCTGAAGTTATTCTCCAGGACCGCCAGCAGAAGGTTAAGGGTGAAGAAGGCCCCCCACAGCACGAGGACGATGAAAAACAGGTCTGCGAGAACGGGCCGGCTGCAATCCTTAACCTGCCGACGGAAAAAAGCGCCGCAACCGCCGAGAGACCACGCACGTCGTCGTGTCAGCAGCAGCAACACCAGCAACACCAAGCACCGACGACGACGACAATGCCCTTGGAACAAGACGAAAAACAACACACACACACACACACACACCACCACCACCGCCGCCACCACCACCTGGTACAAGATGTCGGACCACCCCTCGAGCGTGATGCTCTGGAAGATCGTCAGGAAGGCGACGAAGATGTTGTCAAAGGTCGTGTAGCCCCAGGCCAGGTCCTCCACAAAGGTGGCGTTGTCCGTCAGGTTCCAGCCCCCCCACGGCGACCCCTCGAGCGTCACCCCACCCTCGAAGCGCCGGTTGCCGAGCGCGTCGTAGTCGCTCCCGCACCACCGGAAGTCGCTCTCGTTGAGGTACGCCGGGTCATGCTCGCACTGGTGGTTGCCCGGCGAGCCGTCGAAGGCGCACAGCCGGGTGTCGTCGGTGTCCAGCGGCCACCAGCAGTCCTGCGGCGTGGACCAGGGGCTGCTGCTCTGGGTCCAGGAGTTGTCCTCATCCACGACGTCGAAGTTGCTGGCCTCGAGGCACCGGTGGTCCGCGTAGTCCATCCCCGTCTGTCGTTTTGTGAGTTTCACGTGAGCGCGTGCGTGCGCGGCGCGTTCTTCATATGATGCATGCGGGCAGAAAGGCTAGCGTGGCTAGTCGATGGTAGATAGGGCTCGGAATTCTTCCCCCGAGACGACCTCAATGCACCAGGCAATGCTTTCTCTCGGTGCTTCAGTTACATAAAACCAAACCAGGAAAGTATATAGGATATAGGGCAACGACAGAGAGCCGTGGCCTATGCAGTTGGAGAAAGATGTCTTGCTTATCTTTTTTACGGCGAAGGGTTGATGGGAGGGGAGGGAAAGGGAGCTCGCGCTAGTGCTGTGGGCGCAGGACGCGTACAGGCAGCCCTTTGGTTGATGTGTCTGCCAATGGAAGTGCTTTCATATTACATCACCTTTGCCCACCAGCGCCTTTTCTAGCGCTGTGCGTTGTAGGAGTGCTCGGCAAATCAACTTCTTAAACAAGTACCACCGGGTGCTGTACTCTGTGGGGGGGGGGTGTTATCCTCTGTAACCGGGTGATAAATAAAGTGGAGGTCGCGGGAGTCATGAAGGAGGTGTGACAACCAGGGCGTGCCGCACGCTTACTGGGGCCGAAGGGGTGTGATAACTAGGGGGGGTGTTAGCACTCGGTAGTTGCTCATCCAAGCTTGCTCGGCCTCGCGAAATGGTAGTCAATGTTGTGCCTGCCGCAATTCTCGGCAATATCCTCGAGTGGACCAAAGTGTTCCGCTATAGTACCCTCGAGTACACGGTAGCGGACGCACGACTTCCCCCCCGGGGATTCGCTCGTTCCGCCTTGTTCAGATTGGTCAACCTCGTCATCGGAATCTGAGACTAGGTCCATCTGCGATATATATGCCGCCCTCACGATACGATACACTTTGTGGTTGGCTGTCGGTGTTTAATACGTCGCTTTGTCGAGCAAGCACGAGGCACTGGCGCAGCTGTAGGGTTATTTACAGAACGTTCACGTCTTCCAGGAGCTCTGGCGGCAGTGTTGGCAAAGGCATCGATCGCGCCTTAACTTGTTTGGCTATAGATTAAGAGGATTCTATCAACAACCAAGCTAAGGTGTGAGAGAATGCTCTATTAAAGCGGTATTATAAGAAAACCGGATTTTGGAGAGTGTTTTTCTGTTTTTTGCCTGTCTCGACCCAACCCCTAGCTAGATTCGGGGCCACTTTTTGGCTCCATCTCCTACACCTGTGTTAGCTCGCGAAGAATGGCATGGCTGCCTCCACCTTTGAACTCTTGTACTCGACAAAGGGGGGCGCCGGGGTACGCGCGGAAAACTATAGTCTAATATAGTGTGGGCGCTTTGCAGAGGGGCGTAGAAATGGGGTACTGCTGGAAGAATCGCGGGACGTGACAATACCGCAGGTTCAACAGCGAAGCTGCGCCGCGCATTTTTGTGCTTCGGTGGGAAGCGCAACTATTATAGGGACAAACGAGTAAGGGGCACCTCGCCCACCGATGAAAGGAGGCACCGGGCAACCTAGAGCTTGTGTTTAGAAGGTCTCGCTTTTTCTCTAGAGGAATGAATGCCTTGAAGACCTCCTTTTCGTGCACCGTTTCCACGCTCCCGCCAGTTTTCTACTATCCCGATTCATCGTTGAGTACGTACAAGAATAATGAGAGTCGGATGTGCCCTATTCCGAATTCAAATGGCCCTGTGTGTCTTAACGGTCGACCTGCAGAAATGGAAACGAATGTTGTTGTCGTAGTCTCTTCACATTAAAAATCGTCCTCATATCGCTACCCAGTACCTCTATCTGTCCGTACTGATCTGTTACTTGACGCGGTCAATTCCTGTGGTCACAGGCTAACTCAACCTAAAAAAGTGTACTAAAAAAGACGGACCCGAAGGGTTCGCAAGACAAAATGAATCAAAAACAGATAGTCTGGAGGCCTCCGCTCTCCTCTACACGCCATGTGACGCGAAACTACTGCCGGCGGGGTATTGCGTGCCGGGTTCTGGCCGGTCAAGCCGAGTTGGCAAGTAATCTAGTCCTCCCCACCGAAAACATAAATGGCAGACATGACAAGAGGAGAGGAAATCGTCATGGCTTCGTGCTACCAGAGTACTCCCGGCCTTCCAGCAGCAAAACTGCATAGAGAAAAGATAAGGACATCTGGAAAAGAAAATAACATAAAAGGGAACAAAGAACCGAGAAGACACCCGCCAAAATTACCAACAAACAAACGAACAAAGGGCCACCAGCGATCGCAAATTGGCACGTCTCACGAACAGCGCAAGAACCAAAAGGTCTGCCGTGTGCGAATTGCCGGATTGCTGTTGTGACGTGGCCACACCACACGGAGAGGTAACCATCTTGAGAAGCACCCACGAAACGCGACCATGCCTTGTGTTGTACTCATGTGGTGTCTGTCTGTGCATGTGAGATTCTGCAACGAGCCTCATCCGACCAAAAGCCACGACTTGGTGTGCATTGATATGCAACTCCTCGACGATTTTCATCGGAGTTGCGGTTCTGAAGCTTCTTATTTTTACGGGAAGCCGCAACTGCTTATTACGGTAACACTCGAGCACGAAACACAGGAAGAACGAAGCAACTAATTCCAAAGAACAATTTAAAATTGCACAAAATAAAGGCCTTCAAACCATGGTGCTGACGATGACAAAACCGGCGGCGAGATGGGGTACCACCGGCAGCAGTGTTTGCCCCGCGGTGGCGACGACGGCGGGGGAGGCGGTCGGGGCGAAGGCAATCAATCGTTGCGGGAGGGGCAGCATCGGCAGCAGCACTGGCGGCAAGGGGGGGCACCGGTAGTCATGTTTTCCCCGCGGCGGCGGCCGGGGGGACGGCCGGGCTGCAGGCACCCGTGGCTAGAGCGATACCATCGGTAGAAGCACCGGCGGCGAGAGGGGGGCGGGCCACCGGCAGCAGAGTTTGCCGCTCGGCGGCGATGACGGCGGGGGGGACGGCCGGGGCGAAGGCACTCGCGGCGGGAGCGACGGCGACGGCGGCGGGGGAGACGGTAGGGGCGAAGGCAATCGTGGCTGGAGGGTAGCATCGGCAGCAGCACTGGCGGCGAGAGGGACCACCGGCAGTCATGTTTTACCCGCGGTGGTGGCCGGGGGGACGGCCGGGGCGCAGGCTCTCGCGGCTATAGAGCGGTACCATCGGTAGCAGCACCGGTGGCGAGAGTGACGAACACCGGCGGCAGGGTTTTCTCCGCGGCGGCGACGACGGCGGGGGAGACGGTCGGGGCGCAGGCAATCATGGTGGGAGAGGCAGCATCGGCAGCAGCACCGGTGACAAGAGGGGCGGCCGCCAGCGGTCATGTTTTCCCCACGTCGGCGGCCGGGGTGCAGGCACTCGCGGCTAGAGCGGTACCATCGGTAGAAGCAGCGGCGGCGAGAGCGAACACCGGCGGCAGGGTTTCCCCGCGGCGGCGGCGGGGGAGACGGCGGGGGCGCAGGCACTCGCGGCGGGAGCGGCAGCATCGGCGGCAGCACCGATGGCAAGAGGGGCGTGGCCGCCAGCGGTCATGTTTTCCCCGCGGCGGCGGTCGGCCGGGATGCAGGCGCTCGCCGACGGAGCGGCGGCATCGTTGATGGGAGCGGGTTGGGTGTCGGCGCCTGTACTTCGTTGTTTCACGCTCGCGGGCTCTTGTCGAGAGCGTTTCTGCGCAAAGGAGTGACTCAAGAAGAACAGTCCACGAATGGCAGTGGACAGAAATAAGAAGACATTTTACCCCCTTCGCCGTGCGTATGAAGGCACTTCTTCTTTCTGGCGAGGAAGACTACTGCGTGCTCGCTGATCAACGCATACGTATCTGGTACGCAAGAACACAGCCAAGTAGTAAGATGACATCACCGGAACGCGCTCTGCTCATTTTGATGCGAGCGGACCCCAGTATGGTTTTCCTCTCCCCGAGAAAGAGCCGGACGGGAGGGGGGAGAGGCAGAGGGTGTATAATCTGCGTTTTTTGGAGTCTGGACAAGGATTAGAACCGTTTGTCTTCTTGCGGTGAAAGGTAAAGGTTTTGTAGTAGTAACCTCTCTCTAGACGATCAGCTCCTCTTTACTGCAGCAAGACGAGGGGCAATCGCGGCAGTTGACGTGCAGTCCGAATGCAATGCTCATGGGGCTCGCAGGGATGAGGACGCGGGTATATGTAACGGTGTCGAATAGGAGTACAGTAGCAGAGAGAAAAAAAATACCGCAGCAGTAGTTTCTGAGCAGGTGTGCATGCCTGTGCGACAGCAACCATCCGCACAGAGGATATACCTGTGCAAGCAATACCTGTTGGCACATCTTTTCCGCCTCACCCTTAGGCAAAAAGCGCATATGCTAGTAGCGCTAGATGCGAAGACGCTGACGAGAAACCGCCTCACAGAAGCGCCAGATCGATGCAAACAGTAACGGCCCACTCCAACAAATCGAGACCATCATCCACTACGTAGTCGTGAAAACCCTTGCCCGTGAGCGAAAAGTTGCACACTGCAGACGAACCTTCTTTCACTCCCAATACTGGGAACCACGCGCACCGCAATCACAAGAACATCAAGCACCGAGGCAGTACGTTAGCATCGGCTCCCCGGTGTGCGTTTTCTCTGCTCTACCCTGCGGATGCGGCACCGGGTCGATCACATGCTGAGGGTGCTCTTTGTACCCTCCGGTGGTGTTTAGCAACTTTCTTCGAAGTAAAACATCAGGCACCACCCGACACGCACACACAGCAGCCGCACGGCCAAAGAGAAGGCCAGCGCCCAGAGAAAAGGGCCCGGAGTTGGCGCCCCATCAACACAAAGAGGGAGGCTGCACGGTCAGAAAGCCAAGTTGGGTTTGTTTGCGCGGCTTTAGGTCAGCAACACGCGCCCGTCGCACTCAGGTTGAGGGAAGGGGGAAGGAGAGCGTCGGAACCGCGGAGACAACGACGACCGACGACGGAGAGAGAGGTGGTGGTAGCACCGCGAGCAAAGAAGAGCAGAGAGGAGGAAGAGCACGCAGTGGCCTCCTGGCGAAGACGGGCGCGTCCTTCCCCGCGCAAAAGTATTCTCTGGTTCTGTTCGAGAGAGCGTTTGTTTGACTTGGATGTGCTCCAGTCCCGAAAACCCCTGTTGTCCCGAACGCTTGAAATGCCACATACAATGTACTAGCACTTCGTTCACAGAGGCTGCCGGCCAGTATAATTACTTCCTGTCTCCGTACTGGTGCGATTTCGTGTGCTGGGGCTGAGGGGGCTACACAGACACGCACACGCATGCATGCACGCACACTCAACAGCAGTGGGAGCGCGTGTCATCAGCATGAGGGTGCAGCTGTCACGCAGCGCACCACAAAAATATAGCAGTACCTGCGGACCTGCGGAAGTTCGTTGGGTGGGACAGGAGGACTGTTGCCCCACAGCCAATCACATGAAGCCGCGTAAATCTGAAAATATTTGCCTTGCAAGAAGTTTCCAGGAAATTTCTTGTCTCAAAATTTGCTCCCATAAATGGAAAAGGTTGGAGCCCCAGTCCGAAACTGTGCATTTCGGAAACTAACTTCGCAAGAGCACCAAATATTCTGTGCGTCCTAAACTGTAGCCACTGCTGGCAGCATGCGTATGTGTATGGTGTGAGGCATCACACCAGATACACGAGTCACGCTCAGAACGCGACCGACCGAACACGGACGGTCGAAAGCAGCATGGGTGACACGTCGACTCAAAGAGAAATGTGTGCGGATGTGTGGCCTCGTGCTCGTGGCGGCAGAAGGGCGGAAGGACACATACACACACGCCAAGCGAAATCACCATGGAAGGAGTGAGCGTACCCATCTTGTACAACCCACAACAACAGAAGTTGAACGCGCTGCAACACGGTGCACATATATGTTTTTTTTTTCCCTACAAAAATACAACAAATCCATCTCTTGCACAGAAAAGAGTCCGAGGTAGGGTGACCAACTTATATTTCTACGGTTCCCCGAGCAGCATATCTCCCCTGTGGGTAACAGGCTCGACAAGACACAGCAGTTAGGTGTTGGAGGAGCGGGCGCTTCATGAGTTGCCTTTTGAACCCAACGCTGATGATATTCGGCATGTGCTGGGCGTGACAAGCATACAGTCGGCATATCATAGATGTTGGCGTGGGATGACCTAGGCGGGTGGTTTCTGCGCCGCTACAGTACACGCTCCGCTCCTTCCATGATGAGTCGCTCGGCGTAACGTGGGTATCCTTTCGCCCCTCCGCCACCACCACGAGCTCGCCGCCGCACATCCGCACGTACACCTCTCCTCTCTATTTTCTATCTCTACCCACAGAACAGAGTCCGGCATAAATTAGCGACGAATCCATGGCGGAAGCGGCGCAAGAACAGCAAGTTTAGTACGAACAAAGAGCAGGGAGGGGGCACGCAGACCCCATCCGTAACCCTAACCCCCAAGTTAATCGATTGTATACTTTATTCAGTATGTTTGCGTACTTGAGAGAAAATCTGCGTAGACTACTGGGCACTAGCTGTGTTTCTACGATTCCCCGGGCAGCGCACAGCAAGGTCGCTTCTGTGGGTGACACATAAACATATCCACCAATATATATCTTGAGTAGACGTGGCAACCATACCGCTTTCACCCATGCTGGATCGATCGGGTGCGTGCTGAACGTGACTCGTATCTCGCAATTTAACGTGTCGGTTGCTTTCCGGAAACGAAATGGTGCTGTGTGCTAGCCATTGTATTGTTTCGAGCTGGAAGGGTTCATGGTTGGCATCCTAAACTTGCATCGGAAGTCTAAAAAATTGTGGAGGAAATGGGCAACGGAAGGATCCCACTTCCCGTCAAATCAACATGCATTTCCGATATCAGGGTACACTTCTGGATAACAGTGCTGTACCCGTGGCAGCGTACACCCTAGGCTGTTTGGGACACGGAAAGGTGAAGGTGGACGTTGAACAATCAACTGGGCTCGTTTTGACGCTGACAAATAGTAGGTGCCCCCCGAAGTGTTTCTGACCAGCAGGGTAACCCTGTCATGTGTACCCTTCGGGCAGTTAGCCTGTGACCGCGGAAGGTGTCCCCGTCAGTTGGACCGGTACTGCAGATGTTAAAGGTACTGAGCACTGAGCAGAGATCGGAACGGCGTTCGTGAAGAGAACAAAAACAACAACAACACCAAGGCACCCAAGCCCTCTCCACACTCCACACCCGCATCCATAAAAAATAGGAAACAACCATTGCCCCCACATTTTTGAACGTGCCTGCTGCTAAGAGGCTATTGTTCTCAACTCTGAAAATTCGTATGCGTAAATTCTTCGCGAGAGGGAGGGAGACAGACAGGAAGAAGGGCAGCCATCCAGGCCGACTGACAGACCGACAGACAAGACAGACAAGCAAGCAGGCAGGCTGACAGGCCGGCAGACCGACAACGACAGAAAAGAGAGAGACACAGAGTGGATTGGGAATCTCTTCCACATCAAAAAAATATATATAGCCCGACACAGGCGTGCAGGTGTGTGCGACTCACCTCGAAGGCCGTGGTGACCGGGTACGGTGTGAGGCGACACCGAGAGTGCTGCTTGCCAGCGAAGAGCTGGATGCCGAGGATGCCAAACACGACGAAGATGAACTGCAGGAGAATGAGGACGCTCACCAGCTGTGGAACTGACTTGAGCATGCTGACCACCAGATGCTGCAGGCCGGGAAGGGTGGAAAGGCTCCGGAGCGGCCTCAGCACCCGGAAAACGCGAATCGCCGTCGCCGTCGGCATTCCTGGAATGCTCGTCAGGAGCGCAGTGACCACCACCACGAAGTCGAGCACATTCCAAGCGTCTCTCAGGTACGCTCCGTGGCCGAAAATAAAGCCCTGAGAAACTACCTTCAGCACGAACTCCAGGGTAAAAATTGCTGTGAAGATGCCCTCGGTCTCGTACAGCAGCGTGTTTCTCCACGACCCTTCCGCAATCGGCTCGCCGACATCCTCCGAGCTAGGATCCTCGTCGATTCGAGTCCAGTCCGTCAGGGCAAGTACGATGGAGTTCAAGGCAATCACGAGCAGGATGAAGCGGTCGAACCAGGGGTGCGCGACAAGCTTGACACACGCCACTCGCACTCGGCTCTTCTCGCTGAAGAGGTACAGCGAGCTCCTGGGGTAGACCAGGTGCTTCCCATGAAAGTCGAAAACAGCCTCTTTCTTCATGTTTTCGTTTGCCTCTCTGGTCCCATCGCCCTGCTCCTGCTGCTGCTGTGTGTTCGGACGGTTCATCCCCGAAGACGACCTATGCGCTATTTTTACCAGATGGGGCTCTCGGCAGGCCGTGCGGCTTCTCTCCTCTCTTGGCTCAGGGCGGTCGAGAAGCTCATCTAAACCTTCAATTCGCCTTCGGTGTGCATGGCCTTCTCCTGCCTGTGCCGCCGCGCCGCGGAGTCGGTGCACTGCTGCTGTTCAGGAAGCGGCGGGCGGATGGGTTTGCGTGCTCTGGCGGCTAGCTCTCTGTTGTGTAGTAGGTGACGTTCACGTTGGCGCTTTTTGGAGGGTTCACGAAATTCCGCATCAGAAATTGAATCGCGATATGCACATGTGCACATCCAGGAACCACATCTGTAGGTACTGCTGTCAACAGCAGTCAGCCTGGGATGACAGCCTGTGGTTTGAGCATGCCGGTGAATCTCTTTGTGTCCAATGTTGTAAATGGCACAAAGGCGTCTACCGTATGTAAAGGAGCTTCTGGCACTCCTAATAATTCTGGCACTGTTTACCGAAGCACTTCTTTCGCATGGACGAACCAGAAACTCTGTACCTGAGCGTCTGTCGTTGAGTCACACCAACACGACTACAAAGGGCGGCTGCATCGCTGCGTTAGGGGTGCATCAGTCGAAAAAATCCCTGCCGCCACACCAGCAAGTCGCCTCTTCAGTCTTGGCCACGCATCTACAAAAGCTGGGATGGTTGATCACAGCAGAGAGCCGAGACCAGAAGCCGGGGCGGCACGTCAAACTGCAAGGCAAACGATCAAACACTCGATTCGCGAACTATCTCGTGCTCTCCCTGATGACAAGGTGTATTCGGTTTTTACCTGAACGTGGACGAGAACCGATAGAGGAAGCATTAGGCTCCTCTCCTGCTGTACCGTCTGGGGTTGGTCAGCAGCAGCTAGCGGCAGCAACAAGTCAACGTTGTTCTGGTCTTGTTGACCTGTAGTTGTATTGGGGTCCGCAGCTCAAACTGCTTGTAGCTGTAGTCGGCGAACCCGCGGCACTGTCATGTTGCCTCCCCCTCCCTTTCCTATCGAATGATGTTTCACGGAGCCCCCGTTCCGTCACGGGCGCGAATATTTGCAATCCATGGATTATAAAAGAGAACCACAGTCCAAACATCCGGACGGATCGAAACCCCGGGAAACCGCCCGGAGTGTCCCCGAAGAGGTTCTCCTCTCTCCCTCTCAAATTCAATATTATCTCGGAGCCTGGATCTAACGCCCGTTGTCTTCGGAAGCAGAGCTCTCGTCTGCAGCAACAGCCTCAACAGTCCATACTGCCATACTGGCACATATTTCACGCCAAGGCCACCCTTCGCACCCGGGATGCCCAGGAGACGCTAGGCCTCAGAGGAACAGGAGGACACGACGACACACAACGCCCCGTACTTAGAGGAGTGCTCGTCTCTCTCTGTGTGTGTGTCTATCCGCGTGTGGTGCTGCTGTTGTTGTGCGTTTCTGCTGCTGCAAGCAATTGTTGCTGTAGATTTTGTGAACTACATACAGCAGTATTCTTTTTTTGGTAGATATAACCTGCTGCACGGTGCTGCCGTGATGGATGTCAGTCATCATGGGGCCGTCAAAATCTGTAGGCATCGTTTAGTCTCGCACACCGCAGGCCCGCTCAACAAACTCGAGACGCGGCTCACACGGTTTTCTTCGCAGAGCACACAGGTCGACAAGCACAGATAGACGCAGAAAAAAACAAAACAGAACAATCAATATCCAACAGCGATTTGATGATAGACTGACCCCCACCAAAAAAATGAAAGGACCTGGATATGACCCCAACACGGCAAAAAAGGGGGCGGAAGAAAGAAAAGAAAAGGAAATGGAACAAAAGAAATAAAAACAGGACAGGAACCAGATGGCCCCATCGAACGCTACACCGCAACAACCAAATAGACATACAAACACAAAATCGACAACATCACAGACGGCGATCGGCGCAAAAACGCCGAAGCGAAAAATAAACAACACACCGAGCCTTGACCTGCCGCCGGGGGGGGACAAAACATCGTTCAGGCATATGCCCCGGTGACGTCGTAAACCTAGGGCCGCGTACCGCTACTCACGTACCCCAAAGTATGCAACACCGAAACTAGAGTTGGGACCCCGAAGTCGCGGCTCTCTTGCTACCCCCTCTTGTGTATCTTTCTGCAGCGCCAGGTCGTCTTTTATTACTTGTCCTAGCGGGCAGGCGAACAGTTCCAGGGTTGGCCATGAAGAGAGCCGCCCCCCGCCCTCCCGTCGTTGTAGTTCCTACCCCGCCTGCTTGCACATTGACCATCGTCAGAAATTGGTCCACGAGGGCTACGGCGACTGTCGGTGAAAAGCGATCAGACAAAATACTCGCGGCTTGCCCGAGCTTCTTCGTTACGTCGGCGTACAACACTTGTCTATCCTGGTCCGTGGGCCCCTTCTCCTTCAAGTCCAACAGGACCGTCTGCACCGTCTGGCTGCTCCCAACGAAAGACTTCCACCTCCCGCTGCATCCCCCCACCCCCTCTCCCTCTCCCTCTCCCGCCGCCCCGTCCACTTCTCTACGCAGCGTGGCGGTTGGATACCACCCACCGAGGGCGGGCGACATCCGGCCAGTCCTGCTGCGGTGTTCCCCTCGCCTTTTCCGTCAGCCAGTGCTCGTGCAGGAGGCCTACGTGGAATCTGAATCGGGGGCTGTACATCATCGCCGCCCACACATGGCGACAAAATAGCCTGAGAGTTTGGAGTGTGCGGCACTGGCAGAGATGGCTACCGTCGGAAAAGAGCAAGACGAGGTAGTCGAAGGCCTTGTCATCACGCTGCTCGTGAATCCCGAAGACGTAAATGGCGTCGCAAAGCTTGTCCTCGATGTACTCGAACGTGCGCCCCGAAGCTGCCGCGCGTTCTGGTCCATCCACCTCCCCACCACCCATCTGGCAAAACGTGATGGCCGCGGTCATCTCTTGCTCCATGAACCGCCGCGGCCAGCCCGCGATGGAGAACTCGCAGGACTCGAGCACACTCTTGAAAGCGGTCGCTGGTGGAGCCGCCATCCGATTAGGCGGCAGATGGTCGATTGCGTCACGCAGCATGGCGGCATCCTTCTGGGAACAGATGATGCCCGAAAAGTACTTCGCCACGTCCAAAAGCGAGGAGCGCGAGTTGCACCTATCCCTGATGAGGGCGTTTTGGCCTGTTGTGTGTGCGGCGGACAAACACGCAAGAAGCGACACACAAACCAAACCGTAGGTTAGTGATTGGTGTCATCAGACATCGTTGAAGTCGCAGTACGCCAAACGACTGAAAGAGAAGCCTATGACTTGACGCACCCATCGCCACAGATGTATGTACACGTGAGCCGGACGATCGCAGTGCACCGACCAAGTACATCAATCCCGAACAACAGGGGCCGGACAACAGCCACATGTTTCGAAGAGGTCGTAAACATTAGCGTCATGTAGGGAGTTGTTTACTGGTCATCCACTGACGGCGTACGATAAATTCGTCCAGAAGCACTCACCAATGGCATAGTAAATAGGGGGCAAGGAAGATAGCCGCCCCCAACCCCTACAGACGTAGAAAAACTCCCAAAAACAACGACAACGCTATATGCGCTGTCGTTCTCGAACAAAACGCTCATGATGGCAGATGACGCATACACGCACCTTCAACTCTTGATGTCGTCCACGAACCCACGGAGAACACCAGGGGCGACACATATTCCGCCCACCGTGCACGGTCGTCATATACTACTTGCATGTACTTCTCCGCCTTCGGGTACTTTTCGATGAGGGCGTTGAACTTCCGTTCGAACTTCGCCAATGACAGCTGCTGACGCACACACCTGAACTCGTCCATGAAAGGCTGCGGAAAACACAAACGACGTGGGCCGGGTGGGTGTTGCGTGAGTTGGGGCCTTTGCGATATGGGCTACCGGTCTGTACGATTGACTGCCACCAACAACCCCGTACACTTCGTTAGCGCTAAGGCGAGACGAGGAGAGGGTTGAAAAAACTCAGCGACATACCATTGGTGCTTACAACCTGACTGCTGCTGCTGCTGCTTTTTCTGTGTGCACTGGACGTCGTGAGGTATGTTTCCGTCGAAGCCGAGGTCGTCTCCGCATCACGGTCTACGCAGAGACGCTGGATATCACTCTTCCAAGTAGGCGACACTGATCCATGACAACGCACCAACTCGCACAGGGGATACAAGCGGGAGTGGGGGAGGGGGGCTAGAGTGGGCAGCGTACGTCGCGCGACCAGGACAATACGAGAGGCCAGACTAACCACGCCAACACACACAGTAGAGCGCACCTTCATGTACCCACCAAGGACTTTAGCGAGGGCCTTGATAACGTTCTGGTTGAGGTGCCATAAATTGCGCCTCGCCAGCGCGTCCGGGAACACCTCTCGCACCGCCGCCGTCATCGCCGCGTCCGCGTCCTGGATGAAGGTATCCGGCTGCTTCCCGCGAGACTCCAACGCACTCTTCAACATCCACAGGAAAGTGTCCGTTGTGGTGTCGGCCGTTATGCTTTGGCCGACGATCCGCGTCCGATACTCCGAATCGACGACAGCGAGCACACCGAGAGGCATACGGTATCTGTTCTTGACAGCGGTGTCGTCGTAGAGCGCAACGTGACCGTACCGATTCCAAAGCGCCACCTGCGTATTCGGAGCATGACGTCGAAGGGGATCGAGAGCACTTAATTGTGGGTGTAACGTGTGTTGGACGCGTCACAACGCACCCCCACCCTTGCCTACGGCGTGCTTTCGGTCAGACGTCCTACATTTGCGGACGGCGAAGCGGTACGTGCGAGATGCTAAAATGAAAGCAAACCTTCCGGCTGGGGAATATTCGTATGGGGCACAACGACCGGCGACCTACCTGCTCTCTCGTTTGCCACCAGATGTGCGTCAGGCGGCCGCTGTCATCCATCTTGATCTCGCACACTCCGCCGTCGGCCGTCGCGGCCATGACCTGAAATTGCAACATGTTAAGCGCCCGGAAACATCGAGGGCATCAGCGCAAAACCACGACGACGGCACGGCACACATTTTTTACCTCCAACATTTCTTGGTTTGGTGTCATGGGGCATATATTCTCCCGGTTGTCACCTGCGATCGTATGTGTCTTGTCGCCCGGATACCGCCTTGAGCAAAACCCAACATCCCACACACAAACAAGAGAGGCAACAGTCTCAACGGACACATGGACACACCTCTTCGTACGCATCGGCAGCATCTCTCGGCTTCTCCGCCCCGTGCACAATGGCAGCTGCGTTCTGCACCGCGCGCTTGTTGATGTCGATGTCGCTGTCCTCGTGCAACGCCTTCATTGCTTTCGTCACCTCTTTTGGCTTCATCCCATGACCTGCGCCGTATGGGAGAGCCGGGAGCACAAAAATAAGTGGCGTGTCACAGACAAACAGGGTAACAATGTGGAGGCGACAGCAGTACCACGCTTCAAGGGCCGTTCGTCATGCGGCATCATGACTACCAACCATGACAAACCGTGGGATACGACGGGAGCCACTGTAGACCTACTCCAACGAGTTCAATCTTCCTTGCCCCATATTTGATTCACAAGACAAGACAAATGAAACGTTTCGCCGTCCACCGCTGAGTACACGAAAACAGCGAACCGAACGTGCACGCGTTGAAAGGCACGAGGTGCAGCACAGCAGGGACAATCAATTGGCGTGCTACACCCACGGAAACAATGGCAGGGCCTCTACAGGGAGCCTTGATGTGGACCGGGGGAATGCCAGATACCGGTGCTCTTTTCATGGGGCCAAGGGGAACAGCAGCAGCAACATCAAGTAAAGCACACAAAAAAACATTGTGGGTGTCACGCCGAACGGCACGTGTCAAGCACCAACCCGTCTCGCCTGCGTTTCCGGCGGGGGGCTGGTGGTCAATGTCTGCTGCTGTTGTTGCTGTACGGGGTGGGCTTGTACAGGGTAGCCCGCAAAACCTCCGGCGGCCCCAGCATCGGGAGCACCCACAGGGGCCGGAGTTCCCAACGGCAGACCAGTGCGAGGTGAAAGCATGGCCTGCAACCGCACGCGAAACCCACCACGCGGCGGAATGGAAGGACACCATGTCAACGTTTGATCACAAGACAAGACAAATGAAACGTTTCGCCGTCCACCGCTGAGTACACGAAAACAGCGAACCGTACGTGCACGCGTTGAAAGGCACGAGGTACAGCACAGCAGCGACAATCCACTGGCGTGCTACACCCACGGAACAAACATTGCCGGTGTCACGTCGAACCGCACTTGTCAAACATCAACCCGTCTCGCCTGCGTTTCCGGCGGAGGGCTGGTGGTCAATATCTGCTGCTGTTGTTGCTGTACGGGGTGGGCTTGTACAGGGTAGCCCGCAAAGGCTCCCGCAGCGCCAGCATGACGAGCACCGTAAGAGGCCGACAGAGCAGCACTGGATGGAAGCATTCCTAGCAATGACACTACCGCACGGCAGGCCACGGGTCCCACGACGCGAACATGGAGGGTAGACACATGAAGTTAAGGGGTTGGGCAAGTGCGTGCACAATGCCTGCACCTCTACCAGCCCAGCACTGCTGTAGCACCACCATACAGCCGAGCAGCCAGAAGAAAAGACTCCGGACTATACGGCAAGGGACAACAGGCAGGGCCTGGCCTGGCCTGACCACACCAGTGCAGGCACATGATCACCAACGTACGTACGACGGCAACAACAGGTACAGAGCAGCATCGACACGTGGGACAGCATGAGGGAGGCTGCAACACAGGAGACAGACCAACACACACATGGCGCTGGTGCGGGTGCGGCCGTTGCTATTTTATTTCCAAAAAAAACATCACAGAGAGGGTGAGGGTGAGGCACAGACACAGAGGATGCACGGACGCCTGTCGGGACGGGATCTCACCAGTTATCGTTGTGTGTTGTCTCCTCGTCTTCCCCCAGCGTGCGGGTGCGTGTCGCCGCCTTCAGACGGCTCTCCGCCGCCGTGATTATCGCTGCTTTTATAGGAGAGGGAGAAGAACCTCTTCGGGGACACTCCGGGCGGTTTCCCGGGGTTTCGATCCGTCTGGATGTTTGGACTGTGGTTCTCTTCTATAATCCATGGATTGCAAATATCCGCGCCCTTCCGTCACGGTCACAAGAACCAACCAGTCAGTGTTTCTTCCCGTCCGTGTGGTGCTCCCGTTGGCATCGTCGTTGGAGGGTGGTAGGAGGCTGTCGCCGGAGTGTACTCAACATGCGATCCGGAACCAGGAGAGCGACGGGACAGTTAGCTGGCCTTCCGCGCGAGCTCCTCGCGCGATCCATGGAGCTTCTGAACATGGTCGACCTCGGCCAGGTGTGCAACCCACCCACGAAATTTTTGAAAGGTGGACTCGTACTGCTGCATGAGTTACAAGAGTAGACAGGATTGTGGCGTTGGTTGCCCTCCCCCTTTTGTGCTCCTGTTGAAAGCAGTGGTGGGACAAAGCCCTGCAGCTTGATAGCGTCCCATCTTTCATCCTCGTTCAGCACTGATCGATCCAATTCAAGCAAGCGCCTCGAAGCTCTCGGCAAATAATCGCGGTGTATGCAACATTGATGCGTACATCGACCCAAAGAAATGTTGCCGTCTCTTTTGGTGCTCCAGCTGCTGCTGCAGTCGACTACCCTGCGTCGTAGACACACGCTACCCGCTCGCGCCCAAACCGAGCGCGACAAGGAAGGGGTAAAGTTGGAGAAAGCACGAAGGATGAGCAAGCGTCTTGTCAATGTGCCTCCCTTCAACTACCGTTCACCCTCTGGCTCCCCCCACGCCCGCCCACGTCATTTGGCCCCGTTTTAATCCGACGTCAAAACTGCTGGAACACTTTCCACATCTACATGCGCACGCCTGCATAACATTAACTCGCGTATGCATACGCCATACGAAAAATATAAGGTGTGTTGTGTGAACAAGGACTGGCGAAACGCTGCGGAAGAGGATGCCGTCTGGAGGTTCTGGTGGGCTCGAAGGTTTCGAGAGGATCCTCCGCCTCAGAGGGGGAGGGCTCGTGCAGGCCATCTCAAGCAGCTTCACCGGTAAGCAGGACAGACCAACGCCAAGCCGAATCAAACAAGCAAACCTGCTGCTAATTTTGTTACTGGAGGCGGCGGCGAAGTTTGGGCTGCACTTGAGATGTGAAATCATCGTCATCCAGGAATAGCATGTATAACTTGAAGAAAGCACGTCCTGTACCTTTGGCTCTGCGTAGGGGGGGGGAGATTCATAGTTGTAGGCCGCGCCTGCTACGCGTACTTGTCCACGAGTACCGTAGGTTGCATAAGATACCACACCCGTGTGATGACATTTTCGGGGGGACAAAAGTTATCACACGGGTGTGGTATTCTGTAGGGGGTGTGATATCTTATGTCACCCGTGTGATAAAGTGTACTCACAGAGTCTCACCAACAGGGGGTGTGATAACAAGTGGGTGTGATACCGTCGCCCGTGTGATGAAGCGCGCTCACAGGACCCGGCTTACAGGGGGTGTGATAACTTCGCCCGTGTGATGATACGCGCTCACAGGACCCGGCCTGACGGGGGTGTGATAATGTCGCCCGTGTGGTTGCAGTGCGCCCACAAGACCCTACCTACGGGGGTGTGATAATAATGTCGCTCGAGTAATGCGGTGCGCTTACAGGAGGCACCCACGTACAAAGGGCGTCAAGGGGTGTAAAACAGGTGTGATAGCTAGGATGGCTCACACCACTCCATCACGTACATGCTTTCCCACGTGCATTTTCGCAGTATCCTTTGGAAATTCTTCGCATAGGTACACAACGAAGACGTAGAACCGATACCTCATAGCGGTTGTGCCGGTGTTGTGTGCGACAAAACGACAGCACACAGGTACCTGGACGACGCAACCACTTGCAAGACTTGCATCCAACACTCAAGCTGGAACCACATAGGACGCAAGCAAGTGCCAGCTACATATCAACCAAAGCTAGAAACCAAGAGGACAAGCGACTAACGAAACATATGAAACCCAGGACAAATTGGCTCGAATAGCAGCTTTGGTTGACTTGACCATGGCATGCAACTACGGTAGGTAGATACCAGACAAGACACCTCAGTCTATGTAAACAACGTCCGCCCCCGGCAAGTCTGCCATGACCTCAACCTCCGAGTCATCGTTGCCTTCGCCATCTCCCGAGCTGTCATCGTCGTCGATTTCCAACACCTCCAACAAGTCGGCCATCGTCTCCCCCTCCTCCGATGGGCCAGCCTCCTCCACGCCGGCAGCGGCCGCGTCGCCGTCTGCACGAAGTGGTTTCCCTTGGGCGTCGGAGTTGAGCTCCTTGTTGGCCCACGCCTCGTCCTCAGATCCATCGAAGGCAAGGGTCATGCCAGCCTTCCTCCAGCTCGAACGGATGCTCTCAGGGTCCACTTCATCCCACGCTTTCTTCACCCACTGCGCGAGCAATCCCCTCGATGGGGGATCCGGGTAGCCGCGGTCGTTGCGCACGGCGTCGGTGGAGGCCATGTGGTCATCGTAGAGCCTGGACATGTTGGACTTGAACAGCTTGTTGATAAGTCCATCGCAAGGCTGGATCTTGGGCGTTAGGCCTCCGGGGACAAAAAACAGTGTCGTGTTGGACTTGTCCATCGCTTCCTTGCACAAGGCTGTCTTGTGCACGGTGTAATCGTCCCACGATAGCAGCGTGTCCGGCTGACGGTAGTTGCCCAGGACCCCCTCGCGACCCGGGCGCCGGTTCCACACTTGGGGGAGCCAAACATCCCTGAAGACGCGCTGCGTGTGCCACGCCTTGTCGTCCACGGCGTACACAACGCTCTGAGGGTATACTATCCCCTTCTTGTCCTTGCCCACCTTGAACTCTCGTTCGATGCTGTTGGCAGCGGGGGTTTTGCCCGGCGCCGTAGGCTTACCCTTGAAGATGAGCAGCGGCGGGAGTTTGCCGCCCTTCATGTTTGCTGCAAGCACGGCAGTGATCCGCAACTTTTCCTTTCCACCGGTTTTGATGGCCACCTCTTTCTGACCGGTGTGCTGCGAACGACAAAAATAAAAAGCAAAAAGCAATAGAGAAAGCAGAGGCGACGAAAAAAGTCGATTTTGTAGATGAGAATGACAGCTCTTCACGCACAAAGTAACGTATGGGTTTTGCAGTACAGCGATGATGGATGCGAATGGTAAGAAACTTCTAACCCGGCATAAGCACAATACCAACGTCGTCTAGCCTTACTGGCTGGACACTGAGTAGGTACGGCAAGAAATATTGCATCACAATGCCCACTGTTTGCACGGAATGCCAAGAAACGACCAGACAGGCACATGACTCGAAGCAACACTATTGAACTCACCGCCACGGTCGACGTGCCAGCGGGCTCCATCCACACAGCAGTTTCATCCATGCTGTAGCTCTTCTCCTCCTTGAACAACAGAGGTGGCTTCGAAGGCGCACTGCTCGTTGCCCCCCCATGCTCCGTCCTCCCCCACCGTCGATTCCTCCGTGACGAAGCGCCCTCCATTCCTTGACGGCTTTCATGGCAATCGCAGGCCACCCGGAAGGGAGTTTCTGGCCTTGCCTGGTAACCGCCCGGAATGACAACCGGTTCTTCCTAAGGAACCTCCTGCACCAGTGAGTCTGCTTGTTGCGGTACTTTCTACTGCCCTCCAGGTCGTTCGCTGCAGGCCTCGGGCCGAACCAAAGCGAGTTGAGCGATACCGCCTTGTTCTTGATCATCCTTGTAGAGACGCGGGCAGAGATGGCTTCCGAACAAACATCGTTGATCCAGTCGAGAAGTTCGAGCTCGGCCTCAGCGTTTGACCTAACCCTCCCCGTGTTGAACGACTTCACGCTCCGGGCTTTTTTCTTGCGTTTGGCCCCGAGCTGGTCTGCCTGTTCCAGCTGCTTCTCGTACTTTGTTCTGTCTTTTATCCACGCAGAGAGTGTGATCTTCTCGGGAATCCCAAGCACTCGTTGCGCATACGACACACCGATGGTTCCATTAGGCCCCTGCGCCCCCGGGCTTTGCATGGTCGCGTACTTAATGGCGTTTACTTTGAATTCCAAATCGTACCGCTTGCGTTTCTGGCCACCACCAAACTTAATGGGGAAGTTTGGTGGCTCCAATTCCAGCGGCTCTCTTTTCCTCTTGCCCTTGCCCTTGCCCTCGGCCGGCGTGCCGTCGAGACGCCCACCGAAACCATCTGTCCACTCCTCTGACTCTCCAGGAAACATGGGGTCGCCGACGGGCGCCGCTGCGGCTGCTGTCGTCGGTGCTTCAGGCAGGTGCACGTTCCTGAAAAGCGCATGAGTTCGAGGAAGCAACAAAACATGTAGCATACGTGTCGTTAAGTGCAGTATCTGTAACAATGCGCTCGCTCCAACGACCATCAGGCAAACGTACCAAAAATACGATGGCTAGCGGATAGCTCTGACAACGGCCACCAGGTTGAGAGTCATGGCGTCCACGCTTGCAAGGTACAGAGGGTGAGCAGCTGACGGCACCTACTTCGTATCTCACACAAACAGGCACGGACTGCTGTCGAGGTTATGTTTACATATTTGCACGTGTTGGGTACGGGTTTCGCAGTCTTCCTACCGAAACATCACAAACACAAAAAACGGTATGCGGAAACGTGTCGTGTGTGTGAAAAAAACAATCCAGTAAACATTTCGCCCACACCAGAATATATGAACTACATGTAAATGTAGTGTGTACATGCCAATGTACAGTGAGGCGAGCGCGACGACACGACGTCAAAATCACATTATTTTTTCGATCTGGTTATCGATCAGGTAATCAGGCGTGGCATGTTCTTTGGTTTGCTTGAGCCATGAGAATCCTCACAAACACCCATGTGCTGCAAACTGCAAGACGCTCTGCGCACACCTTATTTTGATGTAGACGTCGCCAGACTTCGCATGCCTGCCGCAAAACTCCGGCATATCCTTCCCTGGCTCTGCCCACAAGGGCTTGTTGGTGCACGATGGTTCTCCGCAGCGCGGTGCTGCTGCAGGGTTCTCAGCAGTAGCCGCGCTCAGGGTGTTGGTGGTTGGCGGGCGAGCTGCCTTTTCGGGTGTGGGTGTGGGTGTGGGTGCTGCGGGATTCTCAGCAGGAGGTTCTGCTTCGCAGGTTTCAGCGGCACCCGCGGTGGCAGGCGCAGCCGGTGCTGTGGGAGTCTCAGTAGCAGTAGATTCTATTGAGCGGGCCTCAGCAGTACGTGCGGTGTCATGTGCGGCTGCTGAGGGAGTCGTCCGAGCAGCCCCACGTTCCCCCGGGGCGGGTGGAAAGAAGGACGCTATGGAGCGTGGGGCCGCCGCTGGAGTCTTACCCACTGCAGTCTGAGCCGCGGGGCTTTCAGCAGGGTTGCTAACTGCACCACCCTCTACGGCATTGTTGGCCTCCATGGCTCTTGCGAGCAGGTGGTGTGGTCGTGATCTCTGTCCTCACGTTGTCACACCGTGTGATAAGCGGTGGCTCCGTCAATAATATGCGGCCCAACTTCAGGGGGTGTGGTATCTTATGTCACCGTGTGATAAAATGACGTTTTTTGGGGGGCTGAAAAAAATAGCACACGGGTGTGGTATTGTGTACGTTTTCTGAGGGTGTGTGGTATCTAATGAAAGTGTGATATCTTATGCAACCTACGGTATGCACCTCTTCGAACCCACGACGACTCCAGTCCCTGCGGGACCAATACTTGGCCGAAATCAAATTTTGGGCATTCAACTCCAACTATTTTGTTACAGACGCATATCGTATGAGGCCCTTTACTCTTCAGGCCGTAGGGTGGATGAGAGCGACATTGCTGTCTGCTGTCGGTGCCCGTTGTCGCATACGCTTTGAATCCCGTCATTATTTTCGACTTTCTTGCTGAGTTTACGTCCCATATGCTGCTGCATCCGTTGGTTCGACCCACCAACCGGGGTAACAAAGTGGGTGAGGTATCTACTGGTCTACCAATACGCCCTCGTTGGTACATCTGTAGGTGTAGATAGCGCAAAAAACGCACACATTCAATTTTGGCATCCGCATTCAGCGCTATTCGGCCCCCTTCCAGGGACCTTGATTTTCCCGCTGGCGCTGACGTCTGTTCACTGGTCAACCGGTTTGCACGGTCGATCCTAATAACAAGACACACACACGCCGAGGTCGCAGAGGAAAGGTAACGGCAGGGATTTGTTCTTTCTCCGCCTTTTCTCCTGCGGTGCTTGCCAAAGACTTCATGCGCGCGAAAGGTTCTCAGCGTTCCCTTTACTCCGTGCTTGTTTTGTTTACTCGTGACTATAAAATATGCGCTCCTGTGCAGCACTCCGGAGAGGTTCGAACCCATAACCCTTGCGGCAGTCAGAGGCTACCAAGTTGAGGGGGTGCTGAAAGCCGATGTTCGTTGACTACTGTACTTCTTTCGAACTGACCTGACCAACCAACAGGGCAGGCACCCAGGAAAAATATATATGTACTCCTACACGGGATACTGTACGTTGATGTAGTCTGCAAATATATGTGCCCGACAGGTCTCTTCGTTGTCTCGCGGACCAGCGGTTGGGACTTGAACCCACCAACGTAATCATGCAGTCTAGTTGTACCTGCACACGCCTTCCTCTCGGACCAAGACGAGGCAGACGACCCCGTCCGTGGGTATGATCATACTGAATAGGGGTTAAGTCGCCGGAGTTGACCCGTCCAAGTCATTCCCACACGCAACACACAAAATACATGCGTGGGTGGTCCTGAGATTGGGTTGAAGGCAGCATGGTTTGACACGTCGACTCAAGAGATGCACGTGTGTTGTGCGGAAGGAGTGAGAGCGTACCATCCTACCTACAACAAAGGGGGTTTAAGGAGTCGTCCGTCCAGTCGTCTGGCCAATGCTCCAGCGAGCAGGAGTCGCCGTAGCCCAACAGCAGTGGTGTCCACGCTGAAGCACCCTACGTTTTCGAAGGGTCTGGACACGGGAGATTTGCAGAGATTTGCCGCGGGTGCGGTGGTACCCAATAAAATCCCGTAGCAGAAGCCGGTGGTGCGTACTCTTTGGCAGCTGGGAGTGGTCACGGCGCGGGGCCCATCCGTACAGCAGAGCCCCCATCTCTTCCGCTGTTCAGAAGCCGGGCGTGTAGTGTCTCCACACGGTGCTGCTTGCCTGTCGAAGAGCTCCCGGGAGTACTTGCGGATACACGCCTGCGGATACACGCCCACTCCGGTGGTTGATCTCCCGCGTGAGCTCACGATCTTCTCTGATTCGCCCACCCAGGTATCGGGCACTCCGCTGTCTGGGCGTGCTTCTGTCCCGCTGCTGCTTCGATCACCGGTGGTGCCTGAGGTGGTGGCGGTGGCGCACCTTTCTCCTCCGGTGCCCGCATCAGGAGAGTCTCTCTGTCTTGTTCTCGGACACTGCTTGTCGTTTCCGACCGAAGGCTCCAAACACTTGCACCACGGTAGTCATCACCCTCCCCAGCCCTTTAGACGATCTCGATACGAAGCCAGCGCCATCGGCGTACAACGTAAGGGGGCGGCCATCCTCATGGCCATGCTGTTTTGAGCAGTCAGGCAAACAGATCGAAGCGGTGGCCTTTTTAACGCCTCACCCGCCGACAGAGGACGAAGAGAACCAAGCGTTCTTGGGATCGGCCCGACACTCCCGTACACCGGATCCCGTCTTATTTTCCACGACTCGTCTCTGTTGTTGCTGTCGACTCGTCGTCTGCAAATGAGAGAAAATCGACAACAGCGGTACAAACCATCTCTGCAGAGGCTGGACATCACCCGTTGGTCTCGCCATGCCCTCACGATAGGCCGCTCGCTCCCCCGCTCTCTCTTTCTTTTACCCTTCTCTCTCTCTCTCTGCGCCTATTTGCTTGTCTGTCTCTTGTTTGTCTGTGTGTCACTCTCCCTATCCCTCTCTCTCCCCTCCCCTCTCTCTCTCTATGTCTATCTCTCCCTCTCTCTGCTTCCCTCTGCCTGTTTGTCTCTGTCTCTCTATCTTATATCTATTTCTCTCTCTTACCGTCTCTCTCTCTCTCTCTCTGGCTCTCCCTGATTCGTCGACCACACAGGTACCGCTTAGAGGACCCCCTCGTTGGAGACAAGGTGGAGGTCTCGTGGGAGGGCCGCTTCCGTCTCGAGTCCTTGGACGTGTTCGTTGGAAGGAGCTGGTGGGAGGCGACCGTGGTGCAGAAGATGGACGGCTTCAAGTGTGTGAATACGAGAGAGAGAGAGAGAGAGAGAGAGAGAGAGAGAGAGAGAGAGAGAGAGAGAGAGAGAGAGAGAGAAGAGAAGAGAGAAGAACCTACCGGTTCTGTTTCCCGCGTGTCAACCCCAATGGAATAAATCTCGTGGTCTCGTGGTCTCGTGGTCTCGTGGTCTCGTGGTTTGCGAAAAGGCAACAGGGGCAGGCAGACGGCGGTTTTGAACAGCAGCCATAAAGGTAACAAGGGAAGTTTTACGCCAGCCACCACGAGGCGAGTACAACCACGCACGTTTCCTTAAGTGCCTTGCCCGGATTATTTCTTGGTCGTTTTTGTTGGTGGTTGATTCGGTGTTCGAACGAACGGTTTTAATTGCTCTTGGAGCCTTCGCTTGTGCAGGAAAATCTCTCTCGTCTAGATTATTTTGGCTCACCCGTTGTACCCCCTCCCCCCAGCATGCTTTGCCGTGACCCCCCCCCCCCCGTCCACACATGACGCCAGGGTAAACACTCTCACCCCCTCCCTCCCTCCATTTTTATTGCACCTGGCGCCGGTGCACCTTCTCGTTGATTTTCGTAGATATCCGATACCGCATTTTCCCCACCTGTTCGATACTTTCGTACGCCCGGAAACGTCGAACGAAAAACAAAAGGTATAAAATCCACTACCCCGGTTGGGACAGCAACTGGGACGAGTGGGTCGTTCGAGACCGGCTCAGGTGGCCGGTGGACCCGTCGTACCTTTCTACCACGTTCAGGGTCCGAGAGGTGGTCGAGGTCTGGTGTACGGGCACGCATGTCAAGGGCGCTTGGCTCCAGGCGCGAGTTCGGCAGGTGCGTCGTTGTGGCGTGTCTGAGCGGGCTTGGCCGTGGCGGGTTGACGGAGGAACGGCTGGGAAGCGGGGGGTGGGGGTGTAGTCGTAGCCGTGCATATACCGTAGACGTTAGGTGACCCTCGCATCCCTACAAGGTCGGGACGCGGGGGGCGTTGTGGGGCACTGGTGTATTGTTCGTTCGCACGTGAAAGCAATAGAGAGTGGGGATGCTGTATGTTGTTGTAAAGCAGTCATGGAGGTCATGTGGTGGAGCACGGCGATCGCTGGAGTACCCCAACACGCTAGTATTTTTCACGCTTTGTCCGATCAGCCCGTGGTCTTTTCGTCGCACATCATTCCACCGCCGCCCAAGACTTGGAAAGAGTGTGTGTATGCACTTGGGATCAGGCGGTACCTCGGCGCACGTCGCCGTGCGTTGGACGCCGAAGCGACCGGAAAGGACTGGTTGTTTTGATCAAATCATGCTTTCTTCCTCTCCAGTACCGGTTGGCCACCCTCAAGTGTGCTCTTCCTCCGTTCCCTCCGACGAACAGATCAAGCAAGACCAAGTCAGCCTCAAGAATGTGCTCGCGTCGTCCCCGCGCACCGTCTGGGTGCCTCGGTCGAAGGTGCGCCGGGTGTGCACGGGGGCCTCGTGCGTCAACTCCTCCTCCAGGAACGGCAGCCGGCGCCGCGGCGGCGGCCGCTCCTCGAAGCTGGACGCCTCTCGGCAAGAAGCGCTGGCGAGGGCGCTGAGGGGGCTCTCGGCCGGTGCCCGCAGGCTGCCCCGTGCTGGCCTCGCGGGACTGCGCGGGGCGGTGCGCCGAAGGGCTAGCCTTAGCAGGATGAGGCGTGGCGGCGGCGGCGGCGGCGGCGGCGGTATTGTTTAATGCCAGCGTTTCCGGTTCCACTGCGTGCGCCACGGGGGGGGGTTTGAATGGCGCGGCCAGAGCGAAGCAGGGCGTGCAGCGGGGAGAGAGAGGCCAGGCTAAGCTCGGGCGAGGATGCGGTGTAAATCGCCACAGCGAGAGGTTTGAATGGCGCGGCCAGAGCGAAGCAGGGGGTGCAGCGGAGAGAGAGAGAGAGAGAGAGAGAGAGAGGCCGGGCTAAGCTCGGGCGAGGGATGCGGTGTAATTAATTGATGGAAAGGACCTGCCTTTTTTTTTTGTGAACTTTGTTGTCGAACTCGTTCCTGGCGCGTCGTCAGAGATGGAGAATGAGTGTGGCTGGTTGCAGGTGTACATTAGAAGAGGGAAGGGGGCTCATTTAGTCTGTATAAGAGGATATTTATCTAACCGGCGGAGGGTCTCAGTGTTTGCCGGACAAGTTACACGGGCGCGCGACTTTGAAGAGTTGGGGCACATAGTCGGTCGTGGGTGGTGAGCGCGTGCTTGTTTATTTGTTTAGCTGCTGTAGAGGTGGCCTTGCAAGGGAAAGGGTGGTTTGTTGGAGAGGAGACGGGGGGTTGGGTTTTGCTAGCGAAAGTAATTTACAACAGGGCTGGACATGATAAAGCTCAATGTTCTCTAGCCATTGAAGACATTGTTGTGCTGGCTGCGGGATGGATAGATCCGTGGTTTTCTGTTTTTTCATCCAAGTTTTCGGCAACGGGGTTCTAAGTCCCGCATTTCGTTTCTTTGTCTTGAGGCCGTGTATGTACTTGGAATCTCCGTCGCTCCGACGGTAGACCAGCCAAGTCTGTTGACAAAAACAAAAACAAAACGCATCGCTGGCAAGTACCATTTGTACATCTATCCATATCTACCCGATACCGGTTCCGTTGGAGCAGAGGGGCTGACGCGCCTTGTACATTTTCAAGGGGGCGGGAAGTCGTTCCAAGATCGATATCGATCGTTTCCTCGACATAAATCAGACGGAAGAGGAACAATTTGGTTCCCGACGCGTCCGTCCATGCATGACGCGCAACGACGAGGGAACTCTGGTTGACTGCCGCCCGGGGGCAAGGTAGCGCCGGCGCCCCTATTCTATTAGATATAGCATTGCCTTTTCTTTTGTATTCTTTCAGTGCGATATAGGTTTGTCGGGCGGTGCAAGTGTATGTAGAAGTGTTTTGGTTGTTCCGCTTCACGAGGTTCAGTTCAGGTCGTCTTGGAAATGTCTAGCGAATTGACATTTCTCGCGAACCGCCCAGATGAAGTAAACGCGTATCATATGGGAAGAAAAGGTCGCGTTTTTGTGTTTTTGTTCAAGTGTATTAATGGCATCAGTGAGAAGCCACCTCATCAGGGGGGGGGAGCGCGTCCGTCTTGGCCGGGCCGGTGGGTGGTTGTGCTTGCAGCTTGCAGGTGTTCTTTCTTCTTCGTGATGCCTTTTGATCAAGCAGTTTTTCCTGGTTTGCTTAGAAAAGGAAACCGTCTTTGTTGTGTAGGTGAGTGTTGAGCCACGAAAGGTGGTGCGGCCGGCGCCTTCGATTGAGTGGTCGCAATTCTTCCCTGGCCATGCGCATGAGTTGGTCCTTGGCACAGAGCAGAGGGTAGATTTGGACCCTTCAAAAGTTTCGAGGTTTTTGGTCTCCTTGTCGCAAGAGCGAAAGGAAGACAAAGGTTAAGTGTGGGACCCTTCGAAAAGCACGAGGTTTTTGGTCTTGTACGCAGTTCAACAAGACCGTGTGGCCCACCTGGTGCAGAATTGGAAAAACGTTGTCACGTGTCTCTTCTTATATCGTGGGTCCAAGGATGGCAGAGCGAGCAGCGTCGTAACGGCGACATCTATCCATCTATTAGTCACAGCAGTACAATCCAGACACGGACCTGTTGAGTGCCAGTACTGCTGTCTGGCATACGATCGCCAAGAAGGGTACACCAAAATCCGGCTTGCTCACTACCTTCATCTCATAGGCAAAATACAATAGACCCGAGAACCCGGCAACCACGACGTTTGACATTCTTTGACTGGCCCGCGTGCTAAATAGAGTCATCCGAGAAACTCACAAGACTTTCTTCTAAAAAACATAAAATAAGCCGCCGTCGTCGCTAAAACGACCAAGGGCGCGCCGGCCGTCATAACCGGAACGTGTGCACCGCATCCAAGTTGCTGAAAGCCGTCGAGTACGTGGCGCCCTCGAGACCGCAGGCTCGCAGGTACGCCGAGATGACCTTGGCCTCAAAGTCGTTTGCGGGACGATCTCGCCGCTGCGCCAGCACCTGCTGCCCCCAGATGGTGGCGGGTGCCGTAGCCCTGACCGTAAGGACCTTGCGATCCAAGTCTGCCGTCACGGCGTAGTCGAGCGTGTAAAAGTTGAGCCGCAAAAGGTTCATGATTCGGTCGCACCCCTCCCGGAGCTCGGCGACCGTCTGCCCTTGCGCCACCACCGGCGCTAGCTTGGTAGAGCCGAACGCCTCTGTACAGTAGGCCTTTTTTTCCCAGATCGCACGGGTGTAGTGGGCAAAGGGCGGAGGTGGATTGGGAAAAGGATGTTTGTTTTGTAGGCAGGCGTGGTAAAATGGGAAAGTATTTACACTGTTTAGCATGAGTGTAGGTGGCGGAGAGGCTTCCGGTACGCTAGCGTGGCTCCGTTCCGCACACTCCTTTTGGAAAGGTATATCCACTTCTTAGACCGCGACGAAACACATCAATCGCCACAATTTCACCCACCCGGTCACAAACTACACTAACTGATTGGGAATGGGGAAACACCCACCTCAAACCACACGTGCCTAACGGAGGATGCGCAAGATACCATACCCCTGGACAGATAAAAAAAGCTCGATTACTCCACCACGAAGGGCATGCCGAGTTGAAATAATACGTTTTCGGAAAGCTCTCGACGAGGCGGTTCCAACGCCGCCATTCTTGGTGCCGTCACTGTTTTCCTGCCCAGAAATCGAGCTTTGAAAAATCGGCACAGGGGGTGTGATATCTTGTGCAACCTAAGGTAACCCACGCACAGCGGGTACCTACGCGATTACAGTTCAACGAATCTACCAGGCGAGTCCGCCTCTACCCCCCCCCCCCCCCCCCCCCCCCCCCCCCCCCCTATCCCCCCCCCCCCCCCCCCCCCCCCCCCAATCTACATTATCAGGAGACCCGTTCACCGTGATGAACGCCTACGACGAGTGGATCCGCGTGAAGGCGGCTAGGAAGGAGTCCTCCCGCCGGTGGTGCAAGCGTCACGGCCTCCAGGAGCAGCGGCTGTACGAGATAACCAAGCTCAGACGGCAGTTCGAAGACCTTCTCGGGAGCGCCGGCCTCATCTGGCTCGGTGCCGCCGCTCAGCGGGCGAGACAGGCGCGCGCCGCGCGGGGGGGGGCGGGGGGGCGACCGTCGAAGGAAAAGCTCCGGGAGCTCAAGATGAGGAGGGAGGGCCGGAAGAGGAAGGTGCTCCAAGTCGATGGGGGGGGTGACGCGGCCGGCAATGCGGGGGAGGGGGGTAGCGGGGGCGAGGACGTGGAGGAGGCGCGGCGGGATCTGAGGGGTGAAGTTGGGGAGGGAGAGGTCGACGGCGAAACCGGCCTGGACCTATCGTCTCTGGAGTTTTA